GTAGAAGTTTTGATGGACCTGCTAAGCCTTCTTTGCGTCAGTGCGTCGTCAAAAGTCATTCCCGTCCAGCTTTTGATCCGTTGCTTGCGCGGTTGAGCTGCGGCCTCCTGGTTGCCGGGGGGAGATGCGCTCTTATTTTTTGAATTCCAGCTTTTCTGCGCCCTGCTTAGTTTCCCAGTCGTTTTGTGGGTTTTGTATCTGCCTGCTTGCGTCTTCTTTTGATCAGATGGTGACGTACTGATGCCGGCGGTTGTGGTGTAGGTGCGCGCTTCCTGTCTTGGTATTTTCGCGTCTAGAACAGTTCAGGACCCTCCAGCTGTAGGGTTCTGTTGGAGGCATTGCGTGAGGGTGCCACTCCAGACCCTGGTTTGCCCTGCGTGTGTCAGGGCAGCAGAGGCTGCAGAAGATAGAATTATGCTGAACAGCGGAGCTTTACCTGCTGCTGATCTTGCTTTGGAGGCTTTCGCTTCTCAGGGGTTGTGACCCACCGGGCTGTGAGGTGTTGGAGGTGCTCGGGGACTGCCGCCCTACGTGGGTGCGGCATGTCTCCCAGTTAGGCTACTCAGGGGGTTCAGGGACCGCCACTTTGGAGCAGGGCAGTGCGTTCCCTTCTTCAGATCTGCAACTCGTCCGTGTTGGGGAGAGTCCAACTGGCTCTCGTTTCAAAGCTGTCAGACAGGCGAATTGCGTTTAGCCGTCTGCAGAGGGATCTGCTGCCTTTTTTTTTGCTGTATCGTGCTGTCCCTCTTTGTTCCCAGAGGTGGGAGTTTCTACTCGATAGAGTTCTATTGGCCAATGTGTGCTGTCTTTGTATGCGTGAAGCCTCCACCCAGGTTCGAGCCTTGCCAGCAGCTTTGTTTACACCTACTTATGCCTCAGCAATGGCGGCCGCCCCTTCTGGCCAGTGTGCTCGCTGCTGCCTTGGCTAGATCACAGGACTGCGGCTGCCAGCCAGAGATGAGCAGAGGCTCCGCTGGGGGTGGAACGCCTCCCGGCCAGGTGTGGCATGATGATCTCTGGCTGTGCCTGTGGTTCGCTTGAAAGCCCGCAGTATTGGGGTTTTTTTTTGTTTTTTCTTTTGTCTTTTTCCGGAGCTTATCCCGGATTTTCAGAGGCGTGTTGTGTGGTCTCAGTTGGCCCTGGCTTAGGAGAAAGGGCATTCCCTTCCCCCTCTGCAACTCCGCAGGTGAGGGCAACTGCCTCGCCTTGCTTCAGCTCTCGCTGGGGTTTGGGCTGGCCAGCCAGCTGCCAGGGCACGGCATCGTCTGGCACTCCCCAGTGAGATGAACCCAGTACCTCAGTTGAAAATGCAGAAATCACCGGTCTTTTGTGTCGCTCGCGCTGGGAGTTGGAGACTGGAGCTGTTCCTATTCGGCCATCTTGCTCCGCCTAAACCTTATAAATATAATTTTAAAGGCATAAGGGAATTTAATTCTTAAGAAATTCTTAAGAAATAAAGTTGCCCTTAAAATGATTGCTAAAAATGTAAAAGATATAAGATTTAAAATCTGTATGTATATACATATACATATATATGATTTTAAAATGTGTTGGCTGAAATTAAATGCTGAGGTAAAAACTGGGTTTTTGAATTTGTGAGTTTCATGAGCAACATATTAACTCTATAAGGCAGAGTAACCTCTGGTTAACCTTTCCTGTACCAAAAACTTTCTTCAAGGACAACAAAAGATGCCATGAAGGAGGCTTCCTTTGGGGGACCGGTCAGAGGGAATCAGAATGACCCCAAAGCACAGGGCACTGTGGGCAAAGTAGAATAAAATAATAAAAAGAATAAGCATGAGTAACACAGGGAAAGTCCAGTCAAGATAAGACCTACTTATCCCTAGGGGCCACAATTTTTATATATGGCTCTAAATTTGCATTATCTGGTCAATAATTTTCTAATCCATCATGTATCCCATTATTTGATAAATCTACTCTTCAATTCTTTGTAAGGTTTGATGGCCTCCCTGAGGCAGGGGAGGGTTTGCTGTGGAGCTGTGCAGTCTCGGCAGCTGGGCCCTCGCTGGCCGGGTCCCTCGCTGGCCCTGCAAGGGGAACTGGCAGTGTGTTCACATAATTTTGTGTTGTATAAATTTCACAGACTGTGAGTATATAAATAATAATTGTAAATTTTGAATTACTGAGACCCAGAGGCAACTGAACTGGTTTGGGGCAAAGTAGAACACTGCAGTTAAGTCCCTGCAGTTAAGTTAACTGCATAAGTTAACACCATCACTCACATCTGTAATCCCAGCACTTTGTGGGGCAGAAGCAGGAGGATCGCTTGTGCCCGGAGTTCAAGGCCAGACTTGGCAACATAGCAAAACCTTATCTCTACCAAAAAATACAAAGAAATTATCCAGGCACGGTCACACGTGCCTGTAGTCTGGAGGCTGAGATGGGAGAATAACCTGAGCCCAGGGAGGTTAAGGCTGTACTGAGCCATGATCGCCACTGCCCGCCAGCCTGGGCAACAGAGTGAGACCCTCCCCCACCTCACCAAAAAAAAAAAAAAAAAAGATTTGCCCTTTTGGAGCCCAAAAGTGCAAATCCCAACTCTGCCATTTTCTAACCATTGTGATTCTGGGCAAGTTATATTTCATCTCTCTGTGCCTCTGTTTCCTTTTCCTTACAGTGGGCATGCCAGCATTGCTTCCCTGGTAGAGCTGATGTGAGCTCATCTTAATCAAGACTTCGCCCAGGGGCTGCTGCACGAAAACATGGTAGCTCTTAGCATTGTTGTCACCACCTCACAGCGGAGATCAGAGGGTGTGGGCTCTCCTTGTGTCTTAGTCAGCTCAGGCTGCCATAACCAAATACCAGGGGTTGGGTGGTTTAAACAACAGACATTTATTTCTCCCAGTTCTGGAGGCTAGAAGTCTGGAGGCTGGGTGGGAATGCAACTGGAGCAGCTTATGCAGAGAGAGGAGAGACGGTAGGCCCTTCCGGGGGTTAACGAATGCTGAGGCTGTCCTTTACTAGTCACTTATATAGGATGGGCTCAGAATAGGAAAGACTCTTTTAACCTCTCAACAACCCCATGGGGAGGTACCACCAGGATGCCTGCTCCCCATGTGAACAGCCTGGGCTTTAGGGCGTGAAATAACGTGTGACAGCTTTCAGGTGGTAGAGGTGGACTAGAGCTCATGCATGTGACCCAAGAGCCGGCAGGCTTCACAGGGCTCATTAGGTCCATTCCTTAGGTCTCTGTTGTTCCTGCCCCTAAACAGCATTCCCTCCACCTCCAGGAGGCCATTAGAACAGGCATCCCATCTAACGCTGTTGGAGCCTGCAGAGCTGCAGGAGCCAGGGCCGCACCCCTCCCACCTCCCCAGCCCATCAGTCCTGCCTTGGGCTCCCTGGGCTCTGAGCCTGGCAGTCTGCTGCGGACAGAAGTCTAGAGGTCTCTAGAGGTCTAGAGGTCTAGTGGCCTGCCCTGCTCTGGCTGCAGAGTGATGAAAGCCCAGATTACATTCCAGGGTCTCTCATCAGGTCATAAAGCCTGCAGCCCATCGGCAGCCCCACCCCACACACACTGCTGCCTGTGTGCCTCCCGCTCCAGCACTTGGGAGCTATGAGGGGGAGAGGCTTTCTGCACCCTGGGCTCTGTGATGGAAGAGATGAGACTATGGGGTCATCTATCACTTTCTCTAAGACCTCGGGCTTGATTCCCTGCTGCTATCATGAGCTCCATCCTCTCATTTGCCGCCAGTCTATGGAGGTGGATTTTTAAACAGAAAGTCGGACGAGGAGATGGATCGTGCAGAGGGGCTGGCATCTGTGGTCAAGGGCTGCTCTGTGCCGGGCACCAGATGCCTCCTTCTGAACTCTTGTGACCCCAATTTACAGATGAGGGGACTGAGGCTTAGGAAGGAGGTAACAGCTCAGCCTGCCACCAAGGCAACTCCTCAAAGCATTGGATACCCAGAATGGTGGCCAGAGGAAAGTGGAGACTCTGCATTCCAGAACGAACCTGGGTTCAAATCAGGCTCCACCATTTCCTTGCTCTGTGGGCTTATGAGTCACTAAGTTGCTCTGAGCATCACTTTCTTTGATTATAAGGATGGTTGTAAGATTTAGAGATCATGAGTAAAACGCCTTTGACACTTAATATATGCTCAATAAATGGCCACATCTATCCCCTAATCCTCAGAAGGGCAGGTGGGGCTTGGAGGACAGAAGTGGCCATCAGATGGCTCCAACCACCAACCATAATAAACCTGGCAAAGATCTCCTGGCACAAAAGACCTTGCATGTAGGTCATGGGCTGTAAGGAAGAGCCCCCAAGCTCCAACCAGCCCACAAGAGAGTTATCATTGGCCATGGGAAAGGCTGCCATCCGTTGTAGGAACTCCCCTATCTCCAGGTGCAGTGGCTCATGGTGGCGCAGGTCACTGGTATCAGCACCTTGGCCTCTTGGTCATCAGCACTTAGACTATTCCTGGGTCTTCAGGTCATCAGTGACAACAGAGGGGACACTCCCCTGTTCCAAAGCTTCCTTTGATCTGGCCAAGTGTGGGTCACTGACTCTGACCTCTCCTGCTGCTAGAGTGGCCCATGACATCCCTCCTAAGAGGCCAACACTCTGATTCTCCAGGACTGGCCAGCCCCCTGGTGGACTCCTCCTCCCAGTACCCTCCAATGAGACATTGGGGCTTGTTGTATTTTTTGTGTAAAATGCACATCAGGCCAGGCGCAGTGGCTCCTGTCTGTAATCTGGCACTTTGGGAGGCCAAGGTGAGAGATCACTTGAGGTCAGGAGTTCAAAACCAGCTTTGGCAACATAGTGAGATCCTGTCTCCGCAAAAAACTAAAAATAGAATTATCCAGGCATGGTGGTGTGTACTCATTGTCCTACCTACTTGGAAGGCTGAGATGGAAAGATCGCTTGGACTCAGGAGTTTGAGGCTGCAGTCAGCCATGATTGTGCCACTGCATTCCAGCCTGGGCAGTAGAGCGGGACCCTGTCTCTAAAAAGAAAAAACAAAACAAAACAAAAAGAATGCACACCAGACATCATCACACCTGCACAGAGACATGCACAGACACAGAAGGAACCCACATCTGCTCTGTGCTCCTTTGCACTGTGAAGCTAGGGCCACTGATACACACAGGATTATGCAGTATGAGCACAGGACCAGGCTACATCAGAGTGGAAGGAACAGAATCCCAACCCAGAGAGGAACTGAGTGCCACATCCCATTTAATGGAAACGCTGGAGGCAGAGCACCTCCAGGATTGAGTAATTCAGTAGCTCAACCCTGTTCAGGGCCCAAGTCAGCCTCTCTGTCATTTCTATGGTTTTTCACTCATCTTCTCACAGAGGCTGCTGCAGCTCCAAGCATATCTTTACACAATAAGCTTCAAGGACATAAAAAAGCCACATCCCAGAAGCAGTCCTCTGGGGTATAAGGCCTAAAATTAATATCAATGATATTAGGTGCTGCCTTGACATCTGGTGAAACCAGGAGGGCCTTGAATGGGCTAACTGCAAGGTCCCCTATGCACACCTCCACCCTCCTTCCCAAGGGGACCAGGCACAGTTCCTGCTTGTCCCTGTAATTCCATTCCCTGCCTGCCCACAGAATTATTCAAACAAGCCAATCACATCATCACATGGGAACTAGGGTCACCCCAATCCTCTTAATACTGCAGAGCCTGCCTCTCCTAACACCAGCTGGTTCCCTCTGTTCCCAGGTGTAGCCCCCATGTGGCCCTGCATCCTCCTCTCCCAAGCTGTGAACATATGTGACCCATAAACTCTTGTCCATCTTGTCTGTCTGGCATGTCACTGTTGTGTATGGGGCCATCCCCCTATCTCTGGGATGAGAATCCCTCCCTCACCAACAGGGTGAGTGGAAGGTGATTAAAACACCCTGGCCCATTGCAGCAGCTCTCTCCCTAGGCAAAAGCTCCATGAGGAAGGGACTTCGTTCTATCCTTGCGAATTCCCTGTGCCCACAATAGTGCCTTGTAAACAGTAGGTGCTCGAAGCAAGTGAAATAAATGTGCGAGTGGAAATAGAATGAATCAACTCTGTCATTGCCTAGGGCTGTGTCGCATGCCCAAGCCCGAGCCAAAAAGTGGCACAGGGACTCTCATTACAATGACTGGTGACCGGCCTAGACCTGGGCTCCTCCTCTGGTGTGCAGGGGTGGGCAGCCTGAGGTGCTGCTTCCTTGGGCCTGGAAGAGGCCTCTGCCACCTGTACTAGTTGTAATGTAATTTAAAAAAATACTGTCTTGACTCGGTTTTAAGGCTCTGATTAGAGGCCAGTTAGTTTACTTTCTTGAGCAGTTAAGCCTACATTTCAACCACTTCCCTTTGGGGGCTCCCACTGTGACAGTCTCTCCAGACCACTATGCACCAGTCCTAATTGCCTGGGGTCAAGTGTTAGACAACTAGGGACAGCTCCTATCCTCCCGAGACTGCAATTTTGTGTAAATAAATCAATTCCCAGGGACCCCATGAAACCTAGCTAAGCCCACCCTACTTGCCATACACAAGCTGCCCTGAAACCTCCAGTGTGCTGGTACAACCACCCCTGGGCACACCCCCTGCACGGCCCTGCCTGGCAGCCTGCTCTCCTTTGGAACTGTGAGTAACAAAAAGCTCTGCCTTTCATCTATTTCAGAGTCTTTGTGTTGTGTCCACTGCCAAAAGAACTTTTACATCTTATAAAACAATTGGCATTGTGAGCAGGAGGGCATGGCCATGGCACCGACTCATGGGCAGCTTTGTTGGGGACTGCTCGTGGCTTGTCACTTGGTTCCAGGCCACCTTGAGAGGGCTTGGGACAGAACTCAAGCTTGCACAGGGCTCAAGCTCAGCCCTGTTGCCTCCGTCAATGATCAAGTCTCTCCCTACCCAAATTTCCTCCACACTCATTCAAAGTGAACAGAGGTAACTGGCTAAACTCCAAGACTAAACAGTAGCCCAGAGTGGGGCTTACCCTAGGGCAAGGAGAGTGACGGGCTACTTGAGCCGTTCTTCCCGGGGTGAGGCATTCTGGTGTGTGTGGTGGAGGCCTGTCCTAGGAGCCCGTCACTTCTACAGCGTCAGCGTTTATCATTATTTGGAGTAGAATCCTGGCTTGTCTGTGCCTTTCGAGCAACCCCGATGGAGGATGGTGTTGTCTGGGTTTCTCCACAGTAGAGAAATGAAACCCCGGCCTCATTGTCGATGTTGCTCAGGTGGGGGTTGCAGCCTACCTGTCTCCTTTGCTGCATACCTTGCTGCTGTCACCAGCAAACTTCATGCTCTCTTGATCCCTGCCACTACTCCTTTTAGTACCCTTGGAGACTCCTTCCCTGCAGACACTTTGGCAGCCTCCTCCAACCTCCCAGAGTGTCTGGACCACCTATGCTGGCCATGAGTTGCCCAGGGGCTTCTGATGCAAAAAAAAACTGCCCTTCTTGGTTCCATGCTGTACACCTTAAAGAAAAAATTGCTGGCCACATACTGGGCTCTTCTGAAAATAGAGGCTCTCAGAGACCCTGAGCCTGTGGGACTCCATGCCCAGCTGCCCACTATTCTTTGGGTCATGAAAGCAGCATCCCAAAGAGCTTGGCACAGCTCATAAGGTCTCACTGATATTATATGGAGCCAAGTCTGCACCTTCTGGTCTACTTTACCTGCAGAAAGGTGGCCTCCCCTGTCCTCAGTCCCTTGTAAGATCACCCACCTCAGACCCCTTGGCTATCTGGAAGTCTCTTGGATTAACTGAGTGAACAGCAGTAAGAGTTTGTAGACTGTATAGATGGCACTGCCAACCCTCATAAAAATGAGGGCATTAAATGGAACGTTGCTGCTTCCCACCCCTTAGCCAGCATGTCCCTAAGGGATGCCTAATGGGACCCAAGAGCCAGCACCGACTGGCCAAGCTTCAGGCGGTCATCTCAGCATGAGATGGTCAGCAAACGGCCTCAACTGCACATTTTTATGAACTGTTGGGCTATTGCCTAGAAGTTGCCCCTACAGGATAAAACTCTGGGACTCTCTTGCCTCACAGCCGAAATATAAATCAAAGTCACACAGTCTTCATACATACTAAGGCCGCAATACAAGGCCTCACCAGAAGGCCCACCCCTTCCAAATTTCACACATTACTGATAGTGACCAAGACACACATTTCACCTCTCATAATACACAAGGCTAGGCTCTTTAAAAGATATTCAATTAAACCTTCATTTAAACAATAGGCTCCAGGTAGCCAGTTTAATGGAAAGGCCTAACAGATGCCTCAAAGGACTCTTTTTTTCAGAAACAAAATGAAAATAAACTCCAAAATGGGTCTCTATCTTGCCCCAGGTCTTAATCTCTCTTAATTCAAGGCCCCTTGATCAACTCACAACTCACACTGACTTTTAGAGCCTTCCTATTGCCTTTGCCTGTGTTTAAAGGAGTATACACTAAAGGCCTCCATGTATCTGAGGACTTATTATATAATGAGGCCCCTTAAAAATGTCTCCTCCATCTTTATGGACTTTTTATCCTGCCCCATCTAATAAGGGCTGAAGGCCTGACAGATGGCACATACTGTTCTGGGAACCACTAACCATAGATTGTCTCATGGGTCAGACAGCTGCCCATCTGGAACAGGACCCATTTCAGCTTATATTTCTACCACTCAAAACTCCTTCCTTCATACTTGTTTTGTAAAGGATGGATAATTAATCCAGACTCTCCCTCTAACTCCCTTTAGGGAATTTTAATTAGTTCCCCAGAATGCTTCCCATAGACAAGTAGACTACCAAAAACAGAGATTTTTAAAACTCTCCTTAGTAAATAAAAATCACATTCTGAGCTAATACCATATCCCAAGATGATTAAACCAGACAACCCCACCTTGGTAATAATATATGTCAACACTGGACAACAAAAGCCCGTCAAGGGCAGCTACACACCATTTGTGTTGATTGTTGGCCTTGCTACAACTGGTCTGTTTTCACAGTTTTGCAATCCAGAGGTTCAAACCCTCCTGATGTGGCATGGTTGCAACTAAACATGGCAAGTGCCGAGGCCCACGTGCCATTCCAGTGAGTTTAGCTAATACAAGCCCTGCAACCCAAAGGTCTTGCTGGCTTGCCCATCACCAACCAAACTGACGACTGAGGAAAGGGCCATAGAGATTGGCTAAATTGGAAGGCTTGCCTACAGGCTAATGCTGCAGCTCCCATCTCAGCCACAGATATTTTAATTGACAAACAATCTGACACCCTATTAACAGCATGCATCTGGCCAGGAACTAGCTCAAGCTTGTAACCCCCACACCTTGGGAGGCTGAGGCTGGGGAATTGCTTGAGTCCAGGAGTTTGAGGCTGCAGTGAGCTATGATCACATCACTGCACTACACCCTGGGCAACAGAGTGAGAATTTGTACCAAAAATAAAATAATAAAGTAAAATAAACATCCAATATGGCCGTATGATTTTAAAACCTTTTGATTATTCATAATGTTGCTTGAACCCTTGAATGAACTAGGTCCCCACAAGGGTGATCAACTTAGCCTGGCTTGCCTGGGACTTTCCTGGCTTTAAAACCCAAAGTCTTGCATCTGTTCAGGCAAACTGGGATGGTCGATCACCTTACCTGGGACTCATGCTTGGCCACTTAATCTCCAACCACAACTATTCACCTATTTTACAGCGAGGCGATTGAGGGAGCCTTGTGTTGGCGTTAGAGTTGTGAACATGGTGACTTGAGCTGTAATTTTGTCTCTGGGGCCATGGGATTGTTTTCAGTCCCTGGACATAGGACCCTCATGGACCCCATCTCTTTCTAACCTGTAGGTGCCATCAGCCCCTGCTGTAGGCTTGGGCATGCCCTTTCTGGTTAAACAATAAGGATGGACACAGCATAGAAGAGCCTCCTGGTCCTACCTCCTGGTAGCCGGTGTGCAGAAGATGGTCCTGAACCTTACGGTGCTCCTCCTTTCTGACCTCGGGCAGAGGCCATCCTACAGACAGGAATTTGGAGTCCCAGCTGGAATAGGGTTGGTACCCCTCCTCTACTCCTTGGTTCTAGAAAAATCAATCCAAGAGTTTGGCCTGTTGTACAGCACCCATTCCCCATATAGTCATATAAGTGTCTGTTTTCAGCACAAGATAGACCCTTTTTTCCACTCTGTCCAATGAGGGTTAATTCCCCCATTCTCCAAGCTCCCCTGAGAGAGGCAAAGGCCCCTGTAAGAAGTTGAACTTTGAGGGTGTCCCTTTCCTGGGAAAGCCATTTTGTATCAGTGGAGGCAGAAAACACCAACTGGGGGACAAAAGAGATTTAAGTGGGCCTGCCTAATACAGCACATTAATACATGCGGATACAACGTTAATCTAAAAGAGGCCCTGTTCATAGATGACTGTGCAGCACTAAAAGCATCTGAAATTTTAGTGTTCAATTTAACTCTGGAAAAGAGTGAAAATAATTATACTACCCATTTCATAAGATCATTTAAATAATATTCGTAAATGTGGATTGCTTTGCCTGACACAAGATGAAAACTCAATAAATGGTGGTGGTGGTAAGGGTGATGGTGGTGATGATGGTGGTGGTAGTCATGGTGATGGCGGTGGTGATGGTGATGATGGTGATGATGGTGGTGGTAGTGCTGATGATGGTGGTGATGGCGGTGGTGGTGATGAT